CTATATATATACTCTCCTTCCTTCCCTCCCTTCCTCCCTCCCTCTACCCTGCCACTCTTAGTTTCCTTTATTCTTTCCCTTCCAGATGTTCGCCCTCCTCCTCTACCTCCTCCTCGCCCTGCTCTCTGGTTCTCGGACAGAAGCCAGACTTTCGGTTTGGGGAAGCGGGAACAGCGGCCTCTCGTACGTCAAAAGCAAGCAGTACGGTGATTTTCTGGTCATGCAGAACCAGACCTTGAAGCACACTCTGGTGTACGAGAGCTTGGCCGCGGAAAATATGTGTAAGTAGGTGGGAAATTCGTGTTTTTTTATTATTTATTTATTTTTATTTTATTTATTTATTTCTAATCTGTATTTTTTTTCTTTAATCTGTATTTTATGTTTTTTTAAGTGACTACTGGTACGGCAGAAAAGACACCACTATGAATTAGGTTAAGTTAGGTTAGTTTCCTTCTGGTTGCCCGGAAATGACGTTTGTATGCACATACGTGTGCCGTACGCCTAACCAGTATGTGACAAGCAAACTGTGGATATAGATCTTGGTGCACTTCTTGCTAGGATTTCACACATCATTAAAACTTCCTTCAAAGAGGACTTGATTGTTTATTAATTCTCAACGGCCTGAAAGCTGTAGCATAAAACACTATGACCGGCTTATGTAAGTTGTATCCATTCATGGTTTACATAAAACAAGAACAAGACTGTGTGATACTGTGACCTCAAGAATCAGGCTGGGGTATAGATTTTATTGGCAAGTCCGTAATGTCTGTAAAGTTGAAGAAACTAAGTGTAAAGCATGTAATGAAGAATAGGCCTATAAGCGAACACTTGTACATTATATCTTAGTGTCGTGCATTACAGCCTTTCAGACCACCTAGCATGAAGTATGGGGAACTATGCACCTACTTCATATCATCTGATGTCTTGGAAGATATACTTATGTTGTATCCTGAATTTGGAATGTAGTACCACATGACCACATATCAAATGTAACAATGTCTCTCCACGCCCAATGTAGATGAGTAGATAAATTACTGTGTGGTTGTTCTTTTCTTTTAAAGGATATAGTATAGACCGTGATATAGTACAGTCGTAATAATTTATACTTAATTTCCAATGTAATACTACTATATAATGCTTTGACCATGCATCAAATGTACCACAGCTTGCCCACGCCTGTGCAGTTAGCCAGAGTGATAGAAGATAGATGAGAGAGAGAGAGAGAGAGAGAGAGAGGGGGGGGGGTGGTGACAAGTCTAAGATTCTCGGGGATAGGGTCTTGTAAGTCCTTTCGTTATACCACCTGCATGTCGTGTTTTACGCTGTGAAAACTCGGTCGTTGCGCTGACACTGGCAAAAAAAAAAAAAAAATCTTTGGAAAGTGTACAGTATACCTGATTATCAAAATTATTGCTATTGTGTCGCGATTAATATCATCCTCATTATAAGTTTGAACATCAATGCGATTTTCAAGATCATCCTCATTATTATCATCATGATTATCATCATTCTTAGTAATATCAGTATTAATATTAGCATTACTAGTCGTATGAGTATTATCAATAATTATCATCATTTTTATCTTGACTATAATCGTTATCATCATCTTTATTTTATCTTAATTATATCGTTATCATCATCTTTATTCTTATCTTAATTATAATCGTTATCATCTTTATTCTTATCTTAATTATAATCGTTAACATCATCTTTATTCCCATCTTAATTATAATCGTTATCATCATCTTTATTCCATCTTAATTATAATCGTTATCATCTTTATTCTTATCTTAATTATAATCGTTATATCATCTTTATTCCTATCTTAATTATAATCGTTATCATCATCTTTATTCCTATCTTAATTATAATCGTTATCATCATCTTATTCTTATCTTAATTATAATCGTTAATATCATCTTTATTCTTATCTTAATTATAATCGTTATCATCTTTATTCTTATCTTAATTATAATCGTTATAAATCATCTTTATTCTCATCTTAATTATAATCGTTAACATCATCTTTATTCTTATCTTAATTATAATCGTTATCATCATCTTTTTCTTAATCTTAATTATAATCATTATAATCTTTATTCTTATCTTAATTATAAATCATATATCATCTTTATTCTTATCTTAATTATAATCGTAATCATCTTTATTCTTATCTTAATTATAATCGTTATCATCATCTTTATTCCCATCTTAATTATAATCGTTATAATCATCTATCTTAATTATAATCGTTATCATCTATTTTTATATCATAATCGTTTATCATCTTTATTCTTATTCTTAATCCAATCGTTATCATCATCTTTATTCCCATCTTAATTATAATCGTTATCATCATCTTTATTCCCATCTTAATTATACTCGTTATCATCCTTATCATTTATCGCTGTTATCATCAAATCCTAGGCGAATGTCGGACCTTCTGCTGGAGTTCCTTAAGGTGTAACTCGGCGACGCTGAAGGAGGGAGTGTCGAGGGTGACCTGCGATCTGTCGGAGTCTGGTCCTTCGAATGCCACGGCTGAAGCGAAGACCGGCGTGACCTCGTCTATTTTCTGGTTGGGTGAGGTCTTGGGTGGTTTTGTTTTGTTTTTCTTGTTTTCTCTCTGTGTCTTTGTTTTTTTTGTCTTTGTTTTGTTTTGTTTGTTTCAGTTTTCTGGTTTTTATCTCTGTCTTTTTTTTCACTGTGGCTCTGTTTGTTGTTTTCTTTTTCTTGTTTTCTGTGTCTTTGTTTTTTTGTTATTTTATGGTTTGTTTGTTTTTTCTCTGTCTGTTTTTTTTCCTCTCTCTGTGGCTCTGTTTGTTGTTTTCTTTTTCTTTTTGTCTCTCTGTCTTTTTCTTTTCATTCTCTGTGTCTCTGTTTGTTTGATTGGTTGTTTCTTTGTTTATGTATTTCTTTCTCTTTTTGTCTGTCTGTTTGTCTGTCTGTCTGTCTGTCTGTCTCACGCACTCCATCTTATTTATCTTTCTTTAAAACAGAACCTATGAACCTCACGCACTCCATCTTATTTATCTTTCTTTAAAACAGAACCTTTGAACCTCACGTACCTGTTACCTTTCTTTTTTTCTCGTTTAAAACAAAACATTTGAACCTCACGTACTCCATCTATATATCTTTCTTTCTCTAAAACAGAACCTTTGAACCTCACGCACTCCATCTATTTATCTTTCTTTTTTTCGTTTAAAACAGAACCTTTGAACCTCACGTACCTTGAAGTTCTCCCTCGGGGTATTTACTGGGTTCCCGCCTTCAAGACCAACTTCACGGCAGCGGCAAGCATCTGCTCGAGCGTCTTTGGCCACCGACTTATGGTTGTCAAGAAGGAGAGCGAACGTCAACTCATGTCCAGGGCGGCTATGGCAATCAGTGAGTTTTATCTTATTTTTTTTTTTCTTGTATTCGCATATTCTCATTCGTGTTTTTGTTTAGCTTTTTTTTTGGGGGGGGCTTTCTTTAGTTTTTTTTCTCTTTTTTGGGGGGGGTTGATGGCAGGGGATAAGTTTTATTATTTTTTTCTTCTTCTTATATTCTTATTCGTGTTTTTATTTAGTTTTTTATGGCAGTGAGTGAGTTTTCTTTTTTTTCCCCTTATATTGCTATTCGTGTTTTTATTTAGTTTTTCTTCTTCTCAGTGTTTTTGTATTATATTCTTATTCGTATTTTGAGTTGATTGTTTTTTCATTTTTTCTTTTTTGATGGGAATGAGTGAGTTTTCTTTTTTTCTTATTATTTTCTTGTATTCTTATTTGTGTTGTTGTTTAGTTTTTCTGCTTCTTTGTGTTTTTTGTATTATATTCTTATTCGTATTTTCATTTGATTATTTTTTTCTATCTTTCTTTTTTCATGGGAATGAGTGATTTCCTTCTCTTCTTATATTCCTATTCGTATTTTTATTAGTTTTTTTTTCTTCTGTCATCTCTCAACGCCCCTATTCCTCAACCCCATTTCTCAACAACCCCATTTTTCAACAACCCCATTCCTCAACAACCCTAACAACCCATTCTCAACAACCCCTTCAACAACCCCATTCTCAACAAACCCTCACCCCATTCTCTTTCTCAACAACCCCATTTCTCAACAACCCCATCCTAACAACCCCATCCATTTCTCAACAACCCCATTTCTCAACAACCCCATTTCTCAACAACCCCCATTCCTCAACAACCCCATAACTCAACAACCCCATTTCTCAACAACCCCATTTCTCAACAACCCCATTTCTAACCCCCATTTCTCAACAAACCCCATCCCTCAACAACCCCACAACAACCCCATTTCTCAACAACCCCATTTCTCCACCCCATCCTCAACAAATTCTTTCTCAACAACCCCATTTCTCAACAACCCATTCTCAACAACCCCATTTCTCAACAACCCCATTTCTCAACAACCCCATTTCTCAACAACCCCATTCCTCAACAACCCTAACAACCCCATTTCTCAACAACCCTGACAACCCCATTCTCACAACAACCCTAACAACCCCATTTCCATTTCTCAACAACCCCATTTCTCAACAACCCCATTCCTCAACAACCCTAACAACCCCATTCCTCAACAACCCTGACAACCCCATTTCTCAACAACCCTAACAACCCCATTCCTCAACAACCCCATTCCTCAACAACCCTAACAACCCTATTCCTCAACAACCCTGACAACCCCATTTCTCAACAACCCTAACAACCCCATTTCTCCCTCCACTCAACACCCCCATTCCTCAACAACCCCATTCCTCAACAACCCACAGAAGCACCCATTCTCCTCCACCTCACGAAGAGCAAGGCCGGTGAACCCGTTTGGGGCGACGGGACATCCTACACGAACACCGTCATGGCCTCAACCGTACAACCCGGGACGATGCACTTAGCTATGCCGGTTTACAAGTACGTTTTGAGCAGGAATTATCCGGCGCTGATGGAGACAGATTACGTCACGGAGGATTTCTTCATGTGTCAGGGGGACCTTGATCAATGAGT